TATTTTTTCGTGATTTGGTATAATAAGGGTACCAGTAAGATTGTAAATGGACAGTTTACGTTTATAATAAAAACTAGAGGCAAACATTTTTGGAAGAGTAAACACATTTTCTAATTCATATATTAAGACTGCGGAATTATTGTCAATATTCTGAAGATCGCTTTCCGGCGCGCGGGACATCAGGTGCCCGGGACTCGTCCGCGCCCTTCGACATCGCGAATGACACTGATTTTATTACGCTGAATGATTTTCCAATAATACATCCGACATATCTTTACTGTACCAGATTCAAATTTTGTCGTAAGTGTTAGCTGATCTCTCACATACAACAATTTTTTGCTGATGCTTCTTAACATTCAATTTATATGAAAAAATGTCGTATGTGCGAAACTTTTAAATTATACGACAAAATTGCACTAAAGCACTTGTGACCTTGCACATACAAGATATCAAAAAACTGATAAAGCCATTTGAAAGATCTTGATTTGTTTAGTATATCTGCATTATTAACTCAATTTGGCCCAATTTTCACATACAACAATCATTTGTTCAGGCGACGAAATATATGTAAATATATAAATATATACGTATGTACATATTTACACACATATGTATTCACATTTCGAACAGGCAAAATTTGTTTATCTGTACATTTGCCTACATCCATGTATATAAGTACATACGTATATGTATGTATATAAGGCAGAGGTATTTACTTATATTTGCATAATTATCTACATACCTATGTCCCTATAACAAATTGGCGTTTTCCCAAGATTTTGGAGGAGTGAAAGTGAAGGGATGGATAATTTTTGGTTTAAAAAAAGCGGTCGGGTATTTGCGTACGCGGTTGAGGCTGGTAATGGCCCCAGCACTATGTTTCAAGTGGAAGAGTGTTTGTGTGAATGGTGGGTAGATATGGGGAGATGAGAAGCTCGTTGGCAACCCCATGTGTTGTGAAGGGTAGGTTGTGATGTGGTGCAGCAAGAACTGAGTGAGATAATGTTCGTATAGCTTTGCGAATTCGAAATTACGCCGTCAGGAAAACGGGCCCCTCAAAATGAGAGAAAAATCAATTTTTCTTTTATATAACAATGTGAGTCAATGTAAACCAGTTTCAGTTGGAGTTATAAATTTGTGCTTTTTGTTAGATTAAAAAAAAATTGAGTGCCGAACATGTAAAAGCAGAAAGTGTTGCTACTATAAATTATTTACAATGATTGGATTTCCTGATATGATGACATACATATCGTCGATGTTTTTGCAAAACCGCTCATCGACCAGTTGCACAACCGCCTAAATCGCCGTTACGGTAAAAATGAGATTTGTTAACCCTGAACTCCAGGCATCGAGATTTATGCATAAAAATCGTTAAATCCTTATTAAAACAACAGATTTGTAAAATAATAGCTAGAGAAAATACCGCCTATCAAGGCAATGCCTTCAAAGAATAAACCGTTTTTTCGCTGTCCTGTAAAATTTGAGTGCCGCAACATAAGTAGGCGGTTTTGCAAAAACATAGACGATATGTATGTATGTACTATGTAAATCAGAAGTAGTGTTCGTATGTTGGTACTCTAAGTTCTTCTAAACCGTTAATTCGATTGCGATGAGACTTACCTAGATTGCTGTGGTCGGAGAAGGTTTCTTTCACATTTTGCATTTTTAAGAACAGGTACGACATTGCATACGCGGTGCTATCAGTTGTGCTACGTTAACGGCTAAGTACCTATCTTGTACGGCGAAATGAGAAAAAAACCTTACATTTCCATGACGTGTACGATTTTAGATCTTAACAACAACAAGTAATTTTTAAGCATAATACAAAACCGACTTCAATTATCATATAAAAATTTAGTATGGGACCAGCTGTGAGGTAAAAAAAGAACTATTGAAATCGGTTAAAGTGGTCCAAAGTTATGCGGTAACATTCAAAAAATAATAGATTATCGACGAATTGATAACCTTTCCCTTTTTGTGAAGTCGGTAGAGGAAAATTCATTGAATAAACCAGAAAATTCAATACAATTCTTCCGAATTTGACCTTGAGATGATCTTGCGATGACCTTTATAAACTTATGCATATACATTTTAATCTTTATTCAATAATTTTTTCCCCATTTTACCCTCAAATGACCTTGAAATAGATTTCGAGGAAAATGTGAAAATTTTTACTATTGCCGCCCTCTTGTGGAAGTTTAAAGAAAATTAGTGCAGAAATTGATTCCTCATATAAAGAGTTGTGCTACGTTAACGGCTAAGTACCTATCTTGTACGGCGAAATGAGAGAAACCCCTTACATTTTCATGACGGGTACGATTTTAGATCTTAACAACAAGTAATTTTTAAGCATAATACAAACCGACTTCAATCTATATATGTATATAAAAATGAAATGTTTTTTCGTATGACCGCGATGCCTGACCA